GTTATGTGGAAGCTTGGAATATTAACGCTGATTTACAAAGGCGTAAGCAGAACTGAGCCTCCAAACTACAACCCAGTATCTCTTCTCCCTGTACTGTATAAGGTCATGGAATTCATCGTTACCAATACACTGGTGTGCTATCTGGAAAACTGTAACCTCATTACTACCGAGCAGCACAACTTCTGGCGACAGCGATCGTGCACAACGAATTTACGAATAGCAAGGAGTAGTTGCACAGAGTCAGTTGAGGCTGGAGAGGATGTTGATGTGACCTGTCTGCATATTTCTAGGGCACTCAATCGTCTAAAATATCAGATACTCCTTTCCAAACTCTAGCAATACGAGATCGGTGAATCTCTCTTTAGGTTTAGCTTTAGCGTTTAGCGCTGACTTAGCACAGGCAATCCCTTCCAATTTTTTATGGTTGCAGACGAGCTCAAGATTTGACGCAGGCTTCAGATGAATGCCGAGTAGCATCTGCTTCAGAGTGAACTAGACACGGTACATCGGAAGTCAACTCAAAATCTACTACATTTCTACGCTAGTAAATGCATGGTACTCCCCAGGCTACACCATATAAACTACTTCAACTGGCTTGGAACGTACACAACGCAGCGATCTTCCGTCGAAAATGATCTTGGTGTGCAAGTTCAGAATGACTTAAGTTGCTAGCACTCCGCTCTTTAGCAATCTCAGTTCGCACATCAGATTTAGCTCAAGAAAATAGCCAGCTGTACTTGATTTGATGCTCGCGAACGAAGAGTTCATGATCGAGAAACCAAAGATGGGAACCCTCTGGGACGGGTGATCTCCTAACATTATGATTATGTGTCTTAAGCGAAATATCCAAAAAGAACATGGTGACTTGTTTCGAACTATCACACACTACGACACACAGCAACTTTGGGTATGCCAACTGGGATTTCAGGCCGATTGTTCCATTGGGTCTGCATAAACTGAGTTTCCTGTCAAGTTCAGTGATCTGATTAAAACTGCATTTGTAAACAGGCCTACTCGTTCTACAAGAGTATCAACAATCATAAGAAGCAGAACCCGAAAACGCATGGCGTTAAGAGACGCAGCGGAACATGTGTATGGGCGAACCATAACCCTGAAGACTGGAGCTATTATGTGCTGTGTCATAATCTCTGTACCACCCTTCTACGTGAGGACAAATTAATTCACCAGTAGAGCCTAGCAGAAATGTTTTGTCCTAACAACAAGCTTCGGTACAGATATGTGAATAACCTCCGGAAAGTGAAGCGTGGTGTTCTCCCAGTTAACTCAGCAAATGGCTGTGCTCAATCTGTCGAGGATGCAGTCAACGTTCTACGGCTGCAACATGCTGCAATATTCTGACGTGCTACCAGCGTACGTCACATACTTGTCCCATTTACCCAAACGCTAATATTCACAGACGTCACTATTAGTTCAGCAACCGTTTTGAGGAAGCTGATATCGTTGCGCACCCATAGTTCCCTCGGTGTTGACAACATTCCCCCAAAAGCACTTCAGGTGGCAGCTACGAGAATAACTGAGCCATTAGCTCGATTTTTCCAAAAATGCATGAATGAACAGCTGGTCCCCAACATATAGAAGCAGGGTGTAATCACTCCAATTTTTAAGAGTGGTAGCTGTTCGGAGCCCGTTAACTATCGCTCAGTGATTCTCATCCCGTTGCTCTAAAAGGTGATGGAGTCGATCACAGTTGAGGCTAAAATAGGCTACTTTGAAAGATCTAACATCATAGCACAGGAACAACACGCATTCCGTCAGCACCGCTCAATTACTACTAGTCTTCTGATTACGCGTGGTAATTGAACCAAAATAGTCGATGTTATCTAGCTCAACTTTCTAAAGTCTTCGGCCGCTTAGATCACCGATTCCTTCTCTAAAAGCTACGTACGTACGGAATTGAGGACCAGGTGCTTGGACGGATCGGAAATTTCCTCCTTCAGCGACGGCTTCAGGTTCAGGTCAGGGGTTTCTTTTCTGATCTTATCGAAGTGAACTGCGGTGTCTCACAGGGGTCGGTGTTAGGGTCGCACTTACTCCTTACTTCCTCAACGATGTCGCGCATGTCATAGAGTTAAATTTTCTGCCTTTTGCCGATGACATCAAGATATGGCGGGCGACCGGTTGTCAGAAAGATTTTGATGTGCAGCGAAGAGACTCTAGGCCGTACCTTTGGATGATCAAAGGCAAATCTAGTTCCGTTTAACGCGGACAAGTGCAAGCCTGCGCATATACGCCCCCAGCCCAAGTACACATATAATCTAGAAGACGACATGCTGAAAACCGCCTCACAGGAGGGCGATCTTGGGGTGGTGATACAAGACGACCTTGTTTTTGAAGGCGTCCAACACGGTGCTGTCTTACGGTGGGCGTTCGGGTGGTTCGACCCCTCCATCCTCCCCCACATACTCAATGCGCATGTGAGGCCACATGTGGGGTACGCCATTCAGGCCAAGCAATCATGGTTAAAATGTGAGCTGGTTGCACTGGATACCGCACAGCTAAGTTTAACAAAAATTGTGAAGGTATTGCTCCATCTGCAATACTATCTGCGGCTAAAAACTTTAGGAATATTCGGTGGAAATTATCGCCATCTACGGGGCAGCCTCATTCTGGAGCTCCAGATCTTGAAAAACTCCGCTCACGCTTTCCACCATCTGCAAGTAAGCTGCAACACAAAATTGGGGGGTCACCAGTTGAAACTGGCCACGCAGTACAGTCGGCTGGATTGCCGCCGGAACTATTTGTCCCTTCAACCTGATGAACCGTGAAACGCTCTCTCGACTTTTGTCATTAAGCGTCCACACTACCTGTCTTAATAAGGGACTCGACGATGCATTACAACACCTACATTACCTGCTAAGATTTCTGTTCATTTATGCCAACAGGACACAGACAAACATTGTGCTCTCCAGACCTCACAAAATCGGTGTAAACACACACACACACACACACACATATATATATATATATATATATATATATGCGTGTGTAAACCGATGCACATGTGTGTTACCGAACATAAGTTGACTTACAGTGGATGTATACTTACGAATACCACGGTGAGCCCAACGGTGTGCATCTAAATTTGCTGACAAATTTTCCTATATTTGGAATTTTCACCATGGTCATCCTGCGGGATCTGCCAAATTTCAGCTATTTTACCCGTATAAAGTCATTGTTCCGTTGTAGTGATGTCGCTGTAGTTTTTCGCATGTTTTTTTACAGCTATTAATGCGTGTGGGGTACACCCCTGACAGCTGGGTACTCTGACCTCACTTGTATTTGTCACAGCGCCTATGTTTACTCATTTCAGTGTTCCGCTGCTACATAGGCCTACAAACATGAAGAGGAATATATTTGCTGGTGACCTACACCGGCCCCTGATAAATTCCGATAGCTTCCGTACAACAGGGGTGGATAGGCCAAGAAAGGCAGACTAATAACGAATCCAGAGGCCGGGTAAAGTGAATGTACAAACGGTTAACCTAGTGCGATTGTGATTACATGAACGTGGAGGTCGATTGTTTATCCTAAGGAATATCCACAACTAGTAAATATCCCAGAATCTCTGGTTGTCCGTCTCAGGAGCCTCAGTTTACATTTTACTTGGATATATCTACACCCTGCCGAACTCATCAACCACGGGTGTTGCTCGCATCACTTCAGCTTTCGAATTGGCATCTGATATGCCACAAAGACGGAAGATAATTCCGGTCGATCTTAACCTATCGTACATACACTGGTCTTCCAAGCCTACCTTATTTCTGTTAGAGTTGGTGCTTGGACACAGTGGGTTACTATGCTAACTAGATAGACATTAAACAAATATGGCCAGCATACAGACAGACGTCTTAGAAAATCTCCCCTGTAACGACCACAAATTGATCCGCTTTACCTTTACCGTTAAAACGGCCACCAAACAAGGCTCTTATTGCCTAATACGTCATCCACAGGATTAACTGGGAACACATCCGTCAAATAATCCGATCCACTGATTAGGATGCCTTCTTCCTATCCAATAAGGCATGCACAGCACTGGAATACTTATATTACCAGTTTCAGTAAGCCGTTAGCCTTTCTGCTCCGCAAGACAAGCGGATCAGTCATGCTCACATAGATGCAGTCGAAGGTTCAATCAGTCAGAATTCCAGAAAACTGAACGCGCTACAAAAATGTAGGAGATTTTACAAGGATCCTAGATGTATCAATTCATCGCTGCAATCAAGCAGTCCCAGTTGATTTGGGGAACGCACGAAGAGTAAGCAGTCCTACGAATGACAAGTGAAGCAAAAGAGGTCAAAATTCTCCATCAAATAAACAACAATCTCTCCTCATTGAGCACTGAACTGATCGACGAGGAAGGCAACTCATTTCTCGACCCACTCGCCTTATCTTTGAATCATTTAGCTCGTTATTTGCCTCCTCCGTTAACCTAGAGACTTACCCTCTAAATACACACACTGATGTAATAACGACTAAGGCTCTCACTAGAATTGATATCTCCCCTCGCAATATCCACCATACAATTAATTCGATACAGCCATCTTCCATTCTGGTAGCTGATGGCATCCCCCCATCCGCCATAAAACTGGGAGGGCCTGGTATGCCATTGTTCCCTTTGCATATATTCACCATTGCACTGGCGTCCTACCGCTTTCTAGAACAATGGAAAACTTCTCCACTTTCTCGAATGCGTTAGCTCTCCTGCTCCATAAGGTCCAGGCTACGCTCGCCCTATCTAGAGTACCACCGGGTTTCCTTCATACATCGCCGTACCCGTACTGCATTGATCCTCAGACACATGCAAGTTTGGTCAGCTCTTCTAAACTGTACTTCATTTGCTTTCTATCCATTGGTCTCGCATCGGCTCCTACTACTACTGCTTTCATAGCTTAAAAGAAGAATGCGCATGTAGCATGATTGCACGCTATGTCCAACACTAACCACTTCATCGGTTTTTTCTCTCTCTCTCTGTCTGACAGCGGATACAATCGACTGCTATCAATGCCAGAATTGCCCTGTCCCATTTGATGAGTCCAGAGCACAGAAGCTGAGCAACTGTAACTATTGCCGAGTAAGTAGTTTGTCAATGACTGGTTGAATATTATAAATCAAAGCACCTGAATTAATCTGTTGTTTCGGAGGACTAGGCTTGGTGTAAGTGACTGACGTGTCACTTAATTGAAAATACTCTGTCTCCTTAGATCCGGGTGGAAATCACGACGCATGTTTCTGCGACCCCGCTGTCCGCTTCATTTACAAATACAACATTCTTGAACTGCTGCAAATTCGGGTGATATGTGGAGACGATGTCTCTCACGATAGATTGGCCATCCACGTGTGGATTGAGCGACAGCCTGGGATAGTCCGATGACCGGTTCGAAACGAACAGTGTCCCAACTGTACTGGCTACTTATTGAATGGGTTTTTCTTGATGCTGCAAACATAGTTCAGAGGGTGGAACACATAAACAGCAGAATTAGTTAGCAATCGGTGTGTGAGCGGTGAGGTCACTCCAGGAATACAACCACATCCTGAGGCGTATAAGGTTTCTATTTTCTTCAAGCGGTTCCGAGAGGTAGGTCCAAACCCACTAGAGCAACATGGCTCATTGTGTCTACGATGCACTTCGAATAGAATTGGACAGTTGTCTTGAACCTTTCTCGATACCTATAGAACTGAAACCAGCATTTATACTGAAGGAAGACTGGTAGTTATAGATTGTGGGTATTCAGCACCTATGCCCCGGGCGATTCCATCGTGTTTACACTACAACGCATACTTCTAACCTCCACTACACCTTTCTCACCACAGGCCACACTCCTGCAATATCGACAGTCCTGAAGTATTAGTTGAGTCACCCATTTAACGGGTTAGTTTAGTTCCGTAATTTGTGTTGCACAAACAGCAAGATGTTCAGAATTCCGTTATAATCACTACAATCTGAGCCCAACCCACGGTCTTTACCACGAGGCTACATGGTGCAATAGTAGGTTTGGTCTTCGCGGCCCGTCAGCTGCAAAAGAAATGCAGCGAGTGACGCCAGCCATTTTATTCGCTGTTTGTAGACTACACCATGGCTTTTGATAAAGTGAACTGCAAGGCTCTTTGGCTGGGGTTCGATGAGTTTAGTTGCCCGAGTAGTGAAATCAAGTCAAGTCAAGTGAAAAACTGATTTATACACATTGGGCGGGTTAATATTTAGGGACAACCCAAAAGGTCTCAGAAATGTACCAGAATATAAAAAATTACGGCGAAGTACCATAAATCAATGGGACAGTGGAACAATGGTGTATTACGGAGAAAAAGCTATGCTTAAGTATTCCCTTGGGATGGAAATTTTTACGAAAATAAAAATTCCGGATAAAGTGAAAAGCGTTTTGGTGGACTCATAATAGATATATGAAGAATAGCGGATATTTAAAACAGTTAGATCTCTTTAGTAATTTGAATAGAGCCGTAAAAAGACGAACACTGACAGATGTCAACATTTCGTATTGTCTCTTCAGTGCCAACACAATAACATGAAAATATGTGCGATGACAGGTAAGGCGGGACGGGAACAAGTGAGAACAGGGTAGGCGGCAGACGTGACACCCCTACACCCAGCGCAGCCGTAGGCTTACGAACAACTGTTTCTGCACATCGAGTGCGGGTTTGATACGGCTGATCGCGACTACCTCTGCGGAACGTAGGAAACGAGCGTTAGCCGTCTCCGACTCTTCGGCTCAGATAGCTGCGCATGTTCCCAATGTATTATCGTCTGCGCCGTGGAGATCTTACCTACCCCAGACGGATCCTAAGAGGAGAATTTGGGAGTCAGGTACAAAAGCACTTACGGTTCAACATGAACGGCTGGACACGAGGCCACAGGTGGAAGTTGTACAAGAACCCAGAGGCTGTCCTATCAATTCGTGTAGTGAATGATTGAAACAGCCTACCGGAGATCATTTCTGATACACCGACAGAGGAAAGTTACAAACGACTGCTTGAGTGTCATCTGATGCGTACCGCAGGGCTCTGCTGCTCCTATTGCAACGGCGATGATCCCCAGAGGAATACCGCTTCGCAGCCAGTTACGTCAAACCTGCACTGAATCGGAATCGACGGAACTAACAATGTTCTCCCATCCTGCTCTCTGCACACCAATAAACCAATGGACCAATGAACCATATCTTAACAAGATTGTAAACATTTTGGCCGGATCGAACTGATGACAGGTGGCCAGCAAATGCCTACCTATGGATGAAACAGGTGGCTTACGTGAACAGGCTGTATGAGTAACCGATGACTGGGTGATTTAATGCTGCAACCATCTAGGTGCATGTTCCCTTATTCAGGAGTTATACGGTCTATGTGTACGGCCGACGTGTTGATTTGCCGAAGAGCAGAAGGGTCCATCAGAACAGAGGTTTACCGAAAGCCGGCTTGGTCAGGCCAGTACCTGCAATTTACCAGCTTCTACCCAATGCAGTACAAGCGGACCGCAGTCAAGACACTATTCAACTGTGCAAGAAATATATGCACTACTGACAGTTTAGATGATGGGATAACCTCGCTCAAGATACGCTGTTAAAATGGCTATCCAAGCAGATTTATTGATAAACATAGTCAGGTGAGGCTGTCGCGACAGAAGGCTTCAACAGTGTCTAAAAGAAGGTCGACATCGAGTTACCATTTAAGGGTGATTTTGCCATTATGAGGACATCGAAGCGCATAACTTCCGTAGCCCAGAGGACTTATTGCGCTGCTGACACTGTTCTTATCAACCGGACTAATCGATTACCTATTACCCCCAGTGACGGAAAGACAACCTATTGGCGTCAACTCACTTTGTATTTGCCAACTTACTTGTATACACTACATCGGCTGTACCAATAGATGGCTGAACTACAGAATGAGGGAACATGTACCTAAATGGTTGCAGCATCAACTCACCCAGTCGTCGGTTGCTTATACCACCTGTTCACTTAAGCCATGTGCTTCATCCATAGGTAGACATTTGCTGGCCACCTGTCATCATTTTGATCCGGCTAAAATGTTCATAATCGTGTTAAGACATGCTAACGCCCGTTTCCTACGTTTCGCAGAGGCAGTCGCGATCAGCCGCATCAAACCCGCACTCGATGTGCAGAAACAGTTGTTCGTAAGCCTACGGCTGCCCTGGGTGTAGGGGTGCCACGTCTGCCGCCTACCCTGTTCTCACTTGTTCCCGTCCCACCTTACCTATCATCGCACATATTTTCATGTTATTGTGTTGGCACTGAAGAGACAATACGAAATGTTGACATCTGTCAGTGTTCGTCTTCTTAAGGCTCTATTCAAATAGTGGATATTTATGCGTATCAAAAGTATAAATGCATAAATCAATTGGTTGGTGTTATGGTAACACACCGTTTGATTGCGTTTTGTAGCCCCCTAGCTAAAAAGTTAGAAAATGAAATGTAAATGGCACAAAGCTTCGTCAATTCGTTTTTTAAATATCGCTCGATTGGGGACAGAGATGACATAATTTGGGAGATGTCTTCCTAGGCTGACACACTCTATGGGAAAAGAAATGTCTACGGCATTCCAGCCGGCTGTGCTGCATTGTCACTTTCAGAGGATGACCTCTTAGGTTAGTGTTATGGTTCAGTTCCAGCAGCAGGCGGCATATTTGGTTTGGGTTCTTCAGAATCTGGTAAACCATTATGAGATCCCTCGCGAACGCCGATATCGAATGCTTTACATTCTGAGACCAGATGGAAGAGATCCCTAACCTTCATGGTTGCCGTTCTGAGGAGTCTCGAGATCTTGTTTTTGTTACGGCTACCACGACTCGATAGCATATTCCAAGTGCAGCCCCAAGTAGCCGTTAACCACATGCGGGAAGATTGAGCGTTCAAACCAACCGAACGCTCTACGAAGTAGGCCAAAGTGTTTATTGCTGATTCTCACGGCCTTCTCTGCTTGTTTTGAGCATCCGAAATCTTCTTGTACCAGTACACCCAGATCACGCTTCTGAGAGGCATTCTGTAAAGTGTGGTCTCTAAGCTTGTAAATGCTCACTGACTGGTGACGCAGATGGATCACCTTGCACTCAGCTGTGTTCAACTGAAGTAGGTTCCTTGTTGACCTTTTATAAATGCAATCTAGTGCATGCTGGAGTAGACGGTGATCTTCCTGTTTAACAGTCACCCACCATATCTTGATACCATCAGCAGGAAATTGGAGGAGAAAACTTTTGCCAGGTCGTTGGTGAACATAAGGAACAGGCTCGGTTGCAGTAACGAGCCTTGAGTGACACCACATTCTACCTCATTCGGGTTAGTTATCCCTAACACGCACTGGAAGCCACCGTTGCTGAAAAAAGTTGCTAATACAACCCAGAGCATGATCTGCAAATCCGTAGCTCTCTACTCTGTGAACTAGGATGCGGTGATCCAGGCAGTGGAAAACTGGAGAAGTCCAGCATGATGACGTCAGCTCCGATCCATCATCAGTCACTTCCGTGCAACTACCTCGTGCAATCATCAGGTTGGTGGTGCATGACCGGTGTTGACGGAAGCCATGATGCTCCGGTGCCAAGATGTTACATTTTTCCAGGTAGTCCATTAGAGTCTCAGAGACGTCTGCTTCCATCATCTTCGTGAGCACATGGAAGAGAGTCAATGGGCAATACTTTGCAAAACCTGTGCGACTACTGCCTTTAAAATGTGGGGCTATAGTGTGATACTTCTACATAGTGGGGACTTGCTGTTTATCGAAACACCTTTAAAAGAACTGTGACAGTGTTTCAGTTAGCTTGGTGGCCGCAGTCTTCAGTGCTTTTGCGCAGTTGTTGTTTGTTCCTGCAGGTCAATGAGAGGAACTTCCTTAGCACAGTTGGAGGATTGAAAATTACATGTGAGTACCAAGGAGTCGGTAATGTGCTTGAGGTTATTTGAGAGATGGTGGTCGAGAGTTCGAAAATTGTGGCGTATTGTTGTCGAAAGTGGTTAGCTACTTTTTCGCTGCTGTGTACTCTATCGCCTGCTGTAACAAGTGGTGCGATGCTTTACTTTACGAAGACGGTTGCCATGCTTATACAGTAGT